CCCCATGGACTGTAGCCTGCCAGGCTTCTCTGTCCACGGGATTCTCCAGGCAAGAATACTGGAATGGGGTGCCATTCCCTTCTCCAGGGGATCTTTCTGACCCAGAGATCAAACCCAGGTCTCCCACACTGGAGGCAGATTCTTTACTGCCTGAGCCACCAGGGAAGCCCCTAAGATTACTACGTAAGTTATTTTATTTACTCCCCACTACAACCTCAAGTGGTAGGCATTAGTCCCCAGTTTTACAGAAAAGGGCAGAGAAATTAGGTAACTTGCTTCAAGTCACACAGCTAATAGGTACCAAAGCTAGAAATTAAATCCAGTTCAGCCTGACTCCAGAGCCTATGTTCTTAACCGTTGCAGTGAATTGCTATATTGTTTTGATCTATAAAATCAGAATGTAGCAATAGTAACACAATCATTAATATGTTATCATCTTTTGTATATATCTGATATTTTCTAAAGAGGCTTCCTTGCTCCTTGCAAGGAAGTTAATAAGTGAATGTTATGTGCTTAGTCGCTCAGTCGTGTTCAACTCTTTGTGACCCCATGACTATAAACCCCCCAGGCTCCTCTCTCCATGGGATTCTCCAGGCAAGAATACTGGAGTGGGTTGCCATTCCCTTCTCCAGGGGATCTTCCCAGCCCAGGGATCAAACCCAGGTCTCCTACATTGCAGAGAGATTCTTGACCATCTGAGCCACCAGGGAAGCCCTTTTCTAAAGAAACAGTTTATTAGGCATAGTCTTCATGTCATACTCATGTCACAGCAAGCTTGACTGTGGTATCTGGAGATTAAGTGATCAGCAGGAGGTGATTCAACGGAGAACCAAGAAGTTTCTGATCCACAATTGCTTTCACTCACACGGTTCATATGAAGATCATACCGTGCTTACTTAGACTTTACTCAGCCATTTCAGTGCAGTGTGTTGAAGGTTTAAGTGCTTATCTTAGACCGCGATGCTATCTTGAGCAAGACATGGATCCTTGGGCCTTACTGTGGATTTCAGAACAATAGAGCCTATTGGCTCACGTTAGAAAACTTAATCCTGGTCTTGTGAAAAATCACAGCAAAGCAGAAGAGGAAAAGTCAATCTGAAATGTTTTTCCTTCTCCAAGAGGGCAGCTAAGGTGCCCAGATATCTCTGCCCTCCAGGGATGCAGGTGTGCAGTTTTTATTCTTTAATCATTCACATAAATTAAAGTCTATTCCTTTGCATTTTAAAAATAATATGAAATGACACCCTCCATGTTTTATTGCCAGACAAGAGCTTTGAACTTCTGTCTTACTGATGTTTGATAAAGTGCAAGGATTTTCCAGGGTTGGGTGGTACCCTTAACCACAGAAGGTAACTTGGGACTGGTAGGAGCTGCATGTGGGGGAAACGACCAGTGAGAAAGCAACTAGAGAGGAGGACTCTGTGCACTAGGCTTGTGTGAACTCCTCAGAGGAGCGTCCTCCTGCCTCTGCTGACTCTTCTCAATTCCTTCACTTCACCCGTGGGTGAAAAGTGCACTCGGTCTTTCTGTTTCTACTTTCCGAGCTAGGGGTGGGTGGGGTGAAGACTTTGTGGTGGGCAGGTTCTTTGTAAGAAACTTTGGAACCGGGGACGTGTTCTAACGTCACACAAATGCCGATTGGCATGCACACCTGTGCAGGTGGGGACAGGGTAAACACACACACACACTCACATGAATTCACATGGACACAGGTGGACCACACCTCTCAGATGATTTTACTATCAACATGCACCCCCTTCTTTCTTTTGTGCTCCATGTAAAATGAAGATCATATCTATTATAAAGCTTATTATAAAGTGTCAGTGATGCGGCAGTGTGGTATACAGTGTTAAGAGCGTGGGTTCTTGGTAGGACATACCTTGGCTTGAGTCTTGGCTTCTGTTCTTAGTAGCTGTGTGATCTTGAGAAAGGTACGTTATAAATCTCCATTCTCCCTTTTGCATATTGGAAACATGATCAAAATATCTGTCGAAGGATTGTTATGAAGATGAAATAAAATAATGCATGTGAAACAATCAGCACAGTTTCTGGCTAGCTGTGCTAATGGTTATTCGGTGAGTTGCACAGGTGCTCAAAATTGGTAGAGCTGTTATTGTTATCATCATTATTATGTGTAATATTAAGTTCTAAATATCTGATTGGTAGCTGAATGTTAAATAGGTACAGTCCTTTATTTATATTTGTTTTCTTTTTTCCTTTACCTACTCCCCATCCCCCATTTTTCCCGCCCTTGGTGCAAAGTCTGTTTTCCAGAAAATTCCCCCCTTTTTTGAGGAAAACAAAAGTACTTTGATTCTAACTGCTCTGAAAACATTTCTCCCTTAAAGGGCTTTCACATTGACTTTTAGTCCCTGGAGCTAAGATGGAGAAGAAGAAGCAGGATTTGCTTCTAAGTAGAGCTCTTTCATTTCTGCTGTCAAAAAACAAAACAAAAACCAAAACAAAAAATCCCCTAATCTTGTGTAGTAGCCTTAGGTAGTTCCAAGTCATAAAAGCCTATAAATAGTCCAAGGAAGGAATCTTTTTGTAAGATAAGGATAAGTGGGTGGAATAAGGGAAGGAGAATACAGAGGTGAAAGTATAGCTGATTTTAGTGTTAATTTGGCCACGCCCCCCCAGTTTCATATATACTTAATTATAAAACAATTAATGCCAGAATTGTCTGTTGTTGTTGTTGTGCCGTGAGACTTGCAGGACCTTAGTTCCTCAACCAGGGATTGAACCCAGGGCTAATGGTAGTGGAAGCACTGAATCCTAACCACTGGACCACCAGGGAAGTCCCAAGACATTCTCATGTATTATCTCACGACTTCGCTGTCAGTTTTGGCCATTTCTTAGTGAAATAGTTTTCCAGTTGGATGAACTGTTGATGAAGCACGGGTTTTGTTTTCACATCTTTTTGTGGGGTCGGAGTTGGAGAATGTTTGCAGTAGCTGATAGTTGTTAACTTTGGGAAGCACTCATATCAATAGAGTAAGTCATGGAATGTAAACATGTCATTCATCCGGACTTTAGGCTGGTGTCAACATGGTGAAACTTTAGGTAACCACTGTCAAACAAAGACTGTCTTGAGTACATCTTGGGTAGATGAACTTATTTGCTTTACAAGTCTCACGAAACTACCAGGACTTCAGGAATGGTTTTTTTTTGTTTGTTTGTTTTTTTAAGTATCTAATTTTACAAACTTTAGGTAATTCCCTCATATTTCCCTGAGGGATGAAAATATGAAAGAGGCAAGTGTCCATCTGGGTAACAACTTTGTGGAACTGTTTTGTGGCAGGATATTTATTACTTTGGGGTTTTTTGTTCTTACTGCCCCAGATGAAAATTGTTTTGTTTGTTTTGCTTTTGAAAAAGAAAAAAATTGGATGGTAAATGGAAATACTGAATTGGAGGTTTACATGTGAAGTGTACCAGGATACCATTATTATAGCTAAAGACAAAACTCAGGGAAGGGGAACAAGCGTCTGGTGAGCACCTGCTGTTAGAAGCTCTGCTGTATTACTGAAGCAGACCTCCAATAGCCCTTTGAGATCGACTTTTAATGAGACATATTATCAAGAAAACCAGGCATTGTGGTTTAAGAATAGCGATGATGTTATTATCCACATTTTACAGCGAGGATATAGGCTTGCAGACTAATTTGCCCAAGGTCGCACAGCTAGGAATTTGGTAGGGCTGAGGAGGGAACTCAGGTCTCTCAGAACTCCAAAGCCCAACTTCTTAAACCAGTGATTGTTAAACTTCAGGATACGTAAGCAACTTCAAGGGTACATGTTAAAATTACTGGGCTCCAATTAGAATTTTAAGATCACTAAGTCTGAGATAGTGCCAGGTTATGAATCTGTATTTTAATAGGGTGTCTCAGGCTATTCACATTAAGTTGATTGACCATGTTTAGAGAAATAATTAAATTCTGTTTCTTTCATTACTTATATGTGGCATCTAAAATATGATGCAAATGGACTTTATTTACAAAACAGAAACAGACGCACAGACATAGGTAACAAATTTATGGTTACCAACAGGGAAGGCGTGGAGGGATAAATTAGGAGCGGGGGATTAGCAGATACAAACTACTATGTATAAAATAGATAAATAGGATTCTACTATATAGCACAGGAAACTATATTCAAGCTTTTGTAATAACTATAATCAAAAAGAACAAATGTATATATAACTGAATCATTTTCCTATACACCAGGAACTAACACAACATTGTAAATCAACTATATTTCAATTTAAAAATAAATACATAAAATTATGTTTCTTTCCACACTTGATAAAGAAGAAAACAGGTGCAGATTAAATAACTATCCAAGATTATGCTCTCAGAGTCATGGTTCCAACCCAGGTCTGTCTGATTCTAGTACTCATCACACCCTTTACTACAAGCCCATGATGAAGTCACACATCTGCTAGTCACAACAAATGTGGGAAACATGGTTTCTGATAAATCAGGCCACCCAGATTTCATTGTCTTATTATTTACCAAGATTAATAACTTTTACCATCTTTACTGAAATCTTCATGGTCCTTAAACTTTTTCAGTGACTTTTTATTTTTTTTTTTTTAGTGGAAGAATTGCGTTTTCCTTGCAATCAGGCATAGAATCGTTATTCCCTAGGACAAATTTCTGAGCCATGCAGAAGTGGAAGGAGGTGGGAAGAAAGAATTCCCAGGTGTATCTGCTAAATGGTGCTAAAGCTCCTCACCCTTATCACTGAAATAAAAAGAGAATGGTTGATATTAATACTAACAGCCAATCAAATGGCAGCAGGTCTTCCATAGCATCTCCCTCTCTACCCATTGAGACTATAGCTCAGCTAGGGCCATGAGCTGGTTTACCTATTGCAGTCTGCTTCCTAGAGCAGAGCCAGCGCCTTGATTGACTTTCATGGCTTACTGGGGTTTGGAGGACTTTTTTTTTTTATCTCCCTCTCACTTTCTCCCCCTCTCTCTCTCTTTTTTTTCTGTAGCCCAGCGACATGTCCTCACATACGTGGAGGATGCAGTCTGCCAGCTGCTAGAGAACAAGGAAGATATTAGCCAATATGGCATTGCCAGATTCTTCACAGAATAGTAAGTACTGAGTGCTTTGCCTGTAGGGCAGGTCCAGAAGAGGCTTTTGGAAGCAGCCAAGACCCGTGAAAAGGATAGCAGGGCCGCGGTGACGGAGCAGTGGCAGTGCGCGCTGCTTCGGTGGCTGAGCTGAGGGCTGCCCAAACATGTTTGGGAACATGTGTTTGGCGCAGCCAGTTTTGTCTAATGCTAAGTCTCGTGAGTAGTCACAACTCTAGAAGCTCAACAACTGCTTGTTTGATCTATTGCTGCTGTTGCTGTCCAGTCAATAAGTTGTGTCCAGCTCTTTGCAACCCATGGACTGTAGCCCCTCTGGCTGCTCTGTCCATGGGATTCTCCAGGCAAGAATACTAGAGTGGGTGGCCATTTTCCTCCTCCAGGGGATCTTCCCGACCCAGGGATCAAATCCCCATCTCCTGCTTGGCAGGATAATTCTTCACCACTGAGCCCCCTGGGAAACCCTGTTTGATCTTTTACATTCTTTTTTTTTTTTTAGGTTCCTCTTATAATTTTTAACTTTTCCCATTATTCAGAATATTCACTCTGATTTCCTTTAGTCTTTGTTCCGTTAGCCTGTGTTTTTCTTGGCTGGCTTTTTTCCATGGAAATGTTTAGGATGATATTTCTCTGCAGTTTTCCTTCAAGAGGATGCTGTATCCATCACTTAAGAATTTAAGATTATTTCTAGAGACAGGAGATCTTTCATAGATTATATCTTTATGATATATGTTCCTTTATAAAGTATGTTTGGAGTGTGTAAAAGTCAAGATGATTATTCACTTTTTAATTTATAGAAAATGGTTTTCTTCAAGTTTTATTGAGATATAATTGATAGACAGCATTGTATAAGTTTAAGATGCATAGCATAGTGATTTGATTTACATACATCATGAAGTGATTATCACCATAAATTTAGATGAACATCTATCATCTTAGATAGATAATTAAAGAAATAGAAAAAAACTTTTTTCTCTTGATGAGAACTCTTAGGATTTCCTCTCAACAATTTTCATATGTAACATATGAAATTTTCATATGGAACATACATTATTATATCCCTAGTACTTGTTTATCTTATAACTGGAAGTTTTGATTACCTTTATCCAATTCCTCCTATCCGTCCCCACCTCTGACCACCCCAAATCTGATCTCTATTTCTATTTGTTTTTTTAAAAAACCTTTTATTTTGTGTTGGAGTATAGCCAGTTACCAGTGTTGTGATGGTTTCAGGTTCATAGCAAAGGGACTCAGCCACATGTATACATGTATCTATTCTCCCCCAAGCTCCCTACCATCCAGGCTACCACACAACATTGACCAGTTTCATGTGCTATACATTAGGTCCTTGTTGGTTATCCATTTTAAATATAGCAGTGTGTACACGTCCATCCCAAACTGAGTTTGGTTTTGAATTATAGACCTGGAACACTCTTAGTTCCTGTTACACAGCATAGCGATTTGATATTTCTTGTACATTTGACACTGATTACTGCAACAAGTCTAATTATGATAGTTCACTATACAAAGATATTAGTTTTTTTTTCAATTTTAGATATTAGTTACTGACCACATTCTCCTCACTGTACACTTCATACCCATAAGCCATTTTTTTTGTTTTGCCACCAGAATTTACCTCTTAAACTCTCTTACCTATTTCTTTCTTTTTGATATCACAAAACTGCTTTTAGGCTGAATGAGATAATCAGTTTAAAATACCTTGGTCTTCATGAAAGGCTATGTTAAAGAAATTTTAAAAATCATTTTTATTACCAAATTGCCATCACATATTTATACAATCATTTTTGTATTCTTTTCCCTTTTTTTCTGGTTCATTGTAAGCATTTTAAGAAAGGAAGAATAGCTCTTACAGGCTATCCTATTCTAAGGTGAATCATGAGCTCAGGTCTGTTCTTGAAAATAGTTTTTTTCCTTTCTATTCTCCAGAGGTTCCTTGAAGATTAGACATCTCCTCTAATGGCTTAAACTTGGGTTGCTGTTAGGGAAATTCTTGACTCACCCTCACTCTTTTGCTGAGCTGTAAGTCTTGCAAATAAAATCTAGATTTTTTATGGGTTGGAATTTCAGGTTACTGGGAAAAACAGGCTTTCCAGGATCAGAACTGGTTCCTTGTCTTCTCCCAGTCGTCTAAAAGAGGATGAAGTAGAGCAAGGCATCTTCCTTGTTCTCGTGGTATGGGCTGAAGCAGATGAAGTGGGCTGGGAACAAAGACTGAGATCAAATAGCCTTGCTTGCTTTTACAGAACTGACAAGCCTAGGGGTCAAGTTTCTAGGCCATTTAATCTGTACCAGCACCCTTGAGCCTCCTTGCCAAGTGAAATATGATTCTCCTGGGGGCAGTGCTTCTTCCTGGCCTGTTTCACTTTACTCTATGCTCCCTCCCCCATCTCCTTCACATCTTTTCCCTACTATGCTGGTTCCTTGAGGCTAGGCATCATTTCTTCTTCATCTCTGTATTCCCAGTGCCTGGCATGCATTATGCCTAGTATATGATAGATGTTAGGTAAATATTTGTTGAATCTATAGCTGTATATATATTTTAAGTTATTGAATACTACCTACCTGGTGGCTCAGTGGTAAAGAATCCGCCTGCCAATGCAGGAGACACAGGTTCAATCCCTGGGTCAGGAAGATCCCCTGGAGTAGGAAATGGCAAGTCACTCCAGTATTCTTGCCTGGAGAATCCCATGAAGAGGAGCCTGGTGGGTTACAGTCCACAGGGTTGCAAAAGAGTCAGACACGACTTAATGACTAAACAGCAACCATTTCTATCTACTCTTTACTCTCGATCTTATTATGAATAAGGACTATCTCTTGTTCTTTTTTTCTTTTTTGTTGATTGTTTTTTATAAAGTTCTATATCCTGCCATTTAAGAAGCTGTAGACCATAATTCCCTGGTGGTCTGGTGGTTAGGACTCCTCACTTTGACTGCAGGGGGTCTGGGTTATATCCTTGCCGGGGAACTAAGATCCCACTTGCTCTGCAGTCCAGCCAAAAAATAAAGAAGAAGCTGTATACCATGGATGTACCATGTGGCATGGGTTCCAAAAGTGAACCCACTAGTCTGTGTAACTAATACTGAACTCTAATAAGGCTTATAACTATTTCCAAATGCTATTGACTATAGCTTTTATCTAGCAGTACACTGTTGGGGAAAAAAAGAGTCTTCAGATTTTCCACAGGGCTGATAGAAATCTAGTTACCAAGCGAGCAGTTTCTTGTCCTCAGAAAACTAAAAATTATATAATATATATGAATGGCACATACTTGACATTTCTATAACTCTAAGACAACTATATTGGCCTGAGGCAAGTTATTTTGAGAAGTAAGCCAGCATCAAAGCTCCAAAATCCTTTAGAAAAAAAAAAAAACTTGGAAGATGTATGATTAAGTGGGAAGTGGTATTTGGTAGGCAAGGAGACCTGCAAGGTAGAAGCTCTTGACTTTCCTTTGATTGTAAATTTAACTTATCTAATGAAAATCCTTCTTTCACAGGCCTCAGTTTTGTATTGATTTGTAGAAGCATAATGAAGTGAAAGGCTCCTCAGATGGCTTAGTGGGTGAAGAATCTGCCTGCTATGCAGGAGACACGGGTTTGATCCCTGGGTCGGGAAGATCCCCTGGAGGAGGAAATGGCAACCCACTCCAGTATTCTTCCTGGAATAGCCCCCACGGACAGAGGAGCCTGGTGGGCTCCAGTCCATGGGGTCGCAAAGAGTCAGACAGAACTGAGCAACTAAGCACACCCACGCACAGTGCAGTGAAAGAACTGAGCCCTGGGTAGAGCTGCTATCCTTTAAGTCCTCACTCTGTAATCTTGAGCCAGTTTCTCAAAGTTTCTGGGCTCTCAGCTGTAAAGTGGGCATAATAAAGTCTAACATGCTAATAAAAATGATGTGAGTTATATATTATGATAAAGTGTTTTTATTAAACTCATCCTATATTTCAGTAGCTATAATTCTTTGAAGTAGGTAGTATTATTATCTCTGTTTTATAAATGAGGAAACTGAGGCTCAGAAAGGTTAAAATAGCTTCTTTCAGTTCATGAGCTACGGAATTAGGAACCAAGCGTCACCTGCGGTATTAAAAAGCCACTGTTCTCTACTGTCTCCAGGTCACTCTAATGCCTAATGTTACTGGAGGCCTAACCAGATAATAACTTGAGGTCTCTTCTTGCTATGATGGGAAATAGATGGGGAGACATTGGAAATAGATGGGGAGACAGTGGAAACAGTGTCAGACTTAATTTTGGGGGGCTCCAAAATCACTGCAGATGGTGATTGCAGCCATGAAATTAAAAGACGCTTACTCCTTGGAAGGAAAGTTATGACCAACCTAGACAGCAGATTAAAAAACAGAGACATTACTTTGCCAACAAAGGTCCATCTAGTCAAGGCTATGGTTTTTCCAGTGGTCATGTATGGATGTGAGAGTTAGACTGTGAAGAAAGCTGAGCGCCGAAAAATTGATGCTTTTGAACTATGGTGTTGGCAAAGACTGTTGAGAGTTCAAGGGAGATCCAACCAGTCCATCCTAAAGGAGATGAGTCCTGGGTGTTCATTGGAAGGACTGATGCTGAAGCTGAAACTCCAGTACTTTGGCCACCTCATGCGAAGAGTTGGCTCATTGGAAAAGACCCTGATTGGGGAGGGCCCCAAATCCCCTGGAGGGATTGGGGCCAGGAGGAGAAGGGAACGACAGAGGATGAGATGGCTGGATGGCATCACCAACTCGATGGGCATGGGTTTGGGTAGACTCCAGGAGTTGGTGATGGACAGGGAGGCCTGGCTTGCTGCGATTCATGGGGTCACAAAGAGTCAGACACGACTGAGCGACTGAACTGAACTTGCTATGATTTCTAAATTCTTTGAGGTTTCCCTTATGAATTATACTTCACACAGGTTATCACACAGCTTTGTCTGGTGACCTCAATGCATTGTCATTTAAATGTTTAACATTGGCCTGTTGGAGGGGATAGATT